TGCTATATATATATGCTCTTGGCAAGTTATTATTTAAGTACTCTTTTAAATACTTTTTATGTTTATATACCAAAAATTTTATATAATATAGATTCCATAAGAAACACAATATTACATAGTATATACATAGTAAATAGTCATTTGAAATTTAAGAATATGTTTGGAATATCTGATTCAAAAATTTTCTACAACATAATATAATATAGATTATATAGAAAGTTCTATGTTAAAAAATATTTTATTCTAAAATTATTGTATATTACAATCAAAATATTTCTATACACTTGGTAAATAGTCATTTGAAATTTAAGAATATGTTTGGAATATCTGATTCCAAAATTTTTTACGATATAATATAATATAAATTACATAAAAAATTCTGTTGCCAAAAATTTTATATTAAAATTATTGTATATTATAATCGAAATATTTGTACATACTTAGTAAATAGACATTTGAAATTTAAAATCTGAAATCTTCATAAGTTCAAAAAGTCTATAGAAATCAACGTTACAACCATAAACGCTTTCAAATACTTAAAGTTTACGATTCAAAATTCAATTCAAAATTTTATGATTATCAAGTTACAATTTTGCTTTCAACGTAATAATAATTTTAAAGTTACTACAATAATGTTGAATTCAATTCAAATCTCTATGTAGTCTAACCAAGGAAAAATTTTTTTTCTAATTTACGATAAAATACTTTATTTTTCAAATAATTATTCATTCTTTAACTCCTCATATTTCTAAATAACTATATCAAATTATATTTATTTAAAAATATTATGCTTTTTCGAAATTTAATGTAACAGGATATTTAAAACAGACCAACATTTATAGTAATTAATATTCATAGGTATGCAAATCACTGGCCCCAAACAAAGAAATTTCATCATGTTTACCAACTTTCTGTAAAAGTATGAGGAAACTTCGGTCAAATCTAATCTTGGCGTTTCTTATTTCGAAATTTAAGCCATCGTAGATTTGTATCAGTTGCGGAAGTATAATAATAATGAAAATGCTATTCTTCATTCAATTATTCCACCTCCTATGCAAATCTCGACAATACTTGTCACACTTTTACACATTTTAAAACTTTCACAAATTCAGGAGAACCTCCATTACGCGACCTCATTCTGCATAAACGTTGTTTTAAAAATTATGGGAAAATATAAGCAACGCCACAAGCTTTTATTAGGTTCACCATTTTTAATAGCGTTGGATTTTTACAATAGTTGATTCTTTTTTTCTTAGTGCATGATAATGTTCCTAATCTGAATTATTCTCATTATCCTTAATTGAAACTATTGTCATAGATCACAATGATCAATACATAACTTGATAAAACTTTTTTCGTTTCAGACCAAATGATTCCACCATTTTGATATAAAAATACCGACATTATTTTTTGACCAACCCAATAGTTCTTTGATCGTATAAAATATAATTCATAACAGTTACAAAAGTTGCAGAAAATAGAGAAAAATGACTTGAATAACTGGAATGTTACCGTAAGAAAAAAAAATTGAAATTTGATTTCTTATATTCGACATTCCGAATAAGTTCCTTGACAAAACGATGTTATCCATGAAAAAATTTTAACATTTGATTTCTTCGATTTCGTTAAAAAGAAAATCTCTTTTTGGTTTTATGTTCTATACATGTATGAAGCAATCTACGAACTTATTAGAGACGTGTCATTCAATTTTATTTTATTTTAAGTATCAAATAAAACTGACTGCGAATAAGATTCTTAAATTTCCATGGTTGTCGTTTTCTTTCCGTCATACAAGGTTAACATCCTCCAAAACATTCGGAAGGAAAGAGATTGAACAGGTATCCAAAGGAATAACTTCAACACTAGAGCTACCGACCTGTAATGTGCAGCTAAATATACTGTATACCAGCGGTTCTCAACCTTCTACCTCGCCAGCACCCAGCAAATATGTGAACCAGTCACATATATTACCGTTCAAAAGTTTCGTATCGCTCGTTTAATAAGAAAATACCTCGCACTTTTTAACACTAGGACTACCAAAGGGATCAAAATAATTAAAATCGCATGTTTCATTTTTGCAGTTTCTCGGAGCATATAGCTGCCTTCGAGCTTTATTGAAATAGAAATATAATTTAGAGGTCAATTTAATCTAGAGGCTAAAAAAGAAAAAATTTGACTATAAAGTTTGCGAATAAACGCTTTATTACAGAGTTACAAGCAAATACTACATTATAAACTTCTACACGAAAGTATTCGAATATTTGCATTTTTAAGTTCAACGATAAAAATATATAGGTTAAACGAGATTGTTTAAAAGGATATGGTACACGTGGTAAGTAAAAAATCTCAAAATTATATCAGCAAAATTAAAAAACAATTCAACGATATATACAACGGGATATGCGTTTACAGTACATCCATTGGAGATACCGTTCATGGTGGCGCTAGTGAGTTCAGTGGAAAATCCTTTAACCCTTTGCACTCTTTTGCCGAGTGCGACTCGACATCAGTTTTTATCACAGGAACTCTTATGTCGAGTTACACTCGACGTTTTTTGATTCCTTATTTAGTGAACAAGAAAACAGAAAATAAGTAACTACTGGAATTACTTAAATTCAAAATATAAATTACGATATTTGAAAGCTATATTTAATATAATTAGTAAAGAAAATTCTTTAAAATAAGTAGCAGTCGAGGAACTGTGCTGTGAAGTAAATTTCAAACAAAATATTTCAAAAAGTAGGGAGTTATTGGCAACAAAATTGAAAAATAATTCGGAATGCAAAGGGTTTAATCTGTCATAAGTGACAAATGATGAATCAACGTAGTATCGAAAGTTTTTATTCCTTAACGAATTACTCTTTCGATTAATATTATACATTGTTTTTGAATATTTTTTAATGTCTTCTGATTTCTCTGTTATAATTTCGATAACTATGAATGGTATGGCAATGATATGGCAACACACTCGAAAGAACATCTACTTTACTGTTAAATACAACTATTAAAAACAAAAAACGGAGAATTACATCAACTATTGATTATCCCTTCTTCCCGTAAATCACGAATATTAAGAGCGATCCCAAACTTTTGAGCGATGGTGTACGATATGTACCTTTTTATAAATAGTACCACTATTCGTTGCAGTATACTATGCACAACGTAAAAATTAATATTTAAGTGAAAATATCTGCACAAGCTGGTAACGAATATAAAAACGATGAATATATAATATGATATTTGTTGTATTCTTATTCCCATAATTTTTTGGATACCCTGTATATAATCATATTACTATCTAAAGAACCAACATTGATCTTGTCATAAATAACTGCGCATTTTCTATAAATGCAAAAATAAAGTGTATGAAACTAGCCATTCTTGACTAACGTGGTAGTTTTAGTGAGTTACTAGTGAAAAATTTTAGTGAGAATCCTAATGAGAAATTCTAGTGTAAAGATATTTCAAAACACCAAGATCGTATCTATGAATAATGCCACATCTATTTAAACAGATTTCATTTTTCATTCTTCTATAGGTAGATCCTTCTATATAGCCTAGGTAAATGCAACCCCTTTGCACTTGCTGAATTTTTCTACCCCGCTTACTTCTGAACCAGCAACTCCGACACGCTTTGCAGTGTAAAGCTTCTCGAAAATACAAGCTTCGTTTGAAAAAGAAATAAAATACGGATACCTGAACACGACTTGAACTCTCTATAGAAGATTTATTCATCTTTTTATCTTTATCGACGAAAACAAAATTATAGAGGTATCAGTGAAGGGCAAAGGATTGAAACTATTAGAACTCTATTTCTAGATCACAGATAGATATTCTGATCTATGAACCAACTTCTCAAACGATAAAATTGTTTATACAATAACTCGACTAACTCGATTAAGCGATCTAGAAACGCAGACCTGGGCGATTTGAGGAATTTTTAAATTCCATGAATATAAAACATCGAATGTTAAATATTAAATTAGAAAAATGTAATTGTCATTGTAAGAATACCTTTTGATGTTAATTAAAAAATAACCTGATTTTAAGACAACCGAAATATTTTGCTAAATAGAGTAAGTTTTAAGAAACGTAGATTAACGTATTTACAGTTAAATAATTTATTTATTACTTTATTCGGGCATATGGAAAGTAATTGAACTTCTTTAATGCGCCGAGTCAAATGTTTATATAATTATTGCTTTTTATTAAAGTATAGTAAACGACGAAATAATTTTTTTGAGGCAAATATGTATTCGTATTAAGATTGAATGCAGATTTTTACATCTTTTTCTGCAAATTTGTGTATGTGAAAGATGATAGTATGGGAAAAAACAGATTAACGAGGTTTTGTTGTTTAAGGATAGGAAGATTCCTTACTTATCATCATGTGATGAATTCGAATCTGGTCACAAAAATTTCCTTTCGTGTTAAATTTAGAATACGAATTAATAAGAAATATCTATTTGTCCTATATTTACAAAAAGATTCTAAAGATAATTCTTTTCCAATATTTTTGTCAATAGTATGATACTAACCTTCTTCTATAAAATCAAATTTCACTTACAATCATATGATTTCTTTTTTTCATATATATATACTGTTTCAAACCATTTATTTATGTATTATTCGAATATAATATTTATAACTTAGTATATAATATTTATATTTTTATCATTTTAATGACGAGTGTATTATTCAATATTTATTGTGAATATTATATTACATAGGAAATAAATTTTCAATTAAAAAATAATCGTTATATATTCGAATAATCGACTTTTCCATTTATTTAAATGGCCTAATGAAAAATATCACTTCAATTGAAAATTGAAAAACATTACTTAGCAATTAATAATTAACGTTATTTACAATTGTTAGTTTAAAAATATTTGTAAATTATTTTTAACTAAATTACTTTTAATAATTATTTGAAATTATTTGAAATAAATTTCGCCCAGGTCTATCTCGAAGCATGCACGTAACAACTATGTACTCACTCGGATTTTGTTGCAATTCATTGTAGATAATACTCGTTATCTCAGCAGGATTTAAGTAATCTGTTAATCCGTCGGTGGCAAGAATCAGGAAGTCTTCCGTTCCATCTAGATCAACGCACCTAATTTCAGGTTCGCTTATTAGTGACTGCTTGTGACGAGCATCACCTATATAACAGAGAAGAAAGGATACTGTACTACTGCAAAAAGTTATGAGAATATTATGATGTGAAAATTTGTAAATTATCTTATAACTTTAATTTCAATTTAAACTTATTTATCGATTGTAAAATATATTTTAAATTTATTTATCGATTACAAAATTCATTTTAAATTTATTTATTGCTTATAAAATTCATTTTAAATTGATTTATTAATTACAAAATTCATTTTAAAATTTATAATTTATAAATTTGGCAATCGTGGTATAACGTACGTCGGGTGGGGTTAAATTTTTAAACTGTGTTACATTTATGTATTTAACTAAATTACAAATTTTTTAATTTAAAAAAAATTTACAACGGATGTCAACTATAACAAAGATAAAAAAGTATTAAATTACCGTAAAGTTATGTGAAAAATATAGTGTAAAAATTTAAAAACTTAGGTATAAATTCATGAATTTATAAAATTTTTTTATTAGGTTAGAATTAAAATTACTTTTGGTTCAAATTAAAGAGTATTTGTTATTTCTACATTTTTTATAGCATGCTCACTTATTAGTCGAATACTAAGTATATAGTATATTAGCCATTATGACTCTGTACATTTCATCATAATTACGTTAAAATGTTTAACTTATTAAAATTATTAATTTAAGTATTAAGCTAAAATTCACACATGGGAGAATTATTATTTTCTTTTTAAATATCTCATTTATTAGTTAGTGTAACAAAGAATATATTAAATAATGCATTATTCGTGGGACACAAATATATTTGAGTAGATACTATATTTATGATTAAAAAAATAAATATATATATATATATGTGCAACCTAATTTTTCACACATTAACAATTAATATTCTGCCGAATAGCTCTTGAATTAAATTATATATTGAAGTCAGTTAAGCATAATAATATAATACATGTAACGATGATATCAATCCCAAGAAATTTATATACATGTATTATATAATTGGATAATTAAAATCGGAATTAAATTATACTGGTAACAATATAGACTCTATCATTGTAAAATATATGTACATTGTAATTCTTTCAAGTAACTAATTTAATTAAATATTAAAAAATTTCTCGATTATTGTCTTAAAAATTACACTAATATTATTTTCTTAAATCCTTTGATTTCCATTTTTCTTTTAATGCATTTTTTTAGTTCAGTTTTTATAGAATATTATTTTATATTTAATATGTAATTTACATCATTAAATTTATTAGATATAATTAGCATAAGCACTTACAAAAATATAAAATATTATATTTTATTTCTGTATATTTTCCTATTTTATAAAACTGCATAATTTTTATAATTTTTAATAATCTTTATGACTTTTTTTGTAATTTAATAATTTGTTAATATATCAATTTTCTCGTTCTAATAATCAATAACTCCGATAGTAATATTCATAGTAACCATACAATTCTAGTTATAATATTTATAATAACCAAATCAAGTTTTCAATTCTAACAAGCAATAAGAGTTATCGTTAGAATAATAATATTTCTAACGATAACTCTGATAACAATATCCCGGTAATCGAAGAAATTTTTCAATTCAAATAATTTTTCATTGTTATTCGCAAACGAGTAGAATGATTTATTACGAATTTACTATATTTTATCACACATTTTCTACGACACTAATAAAAGAACAGAAAGACGTATTTTTCCTATTCAAAAATTTTCATGTTTATTTAATTGTTAACTGTAAAGAGATTCATTCATGGTTGTACTATACCGATGGAAAAAAAACCGTGTAGATTTATAATAACCGGAAGCGTCTGTATTATGGTGGTGCCATTATTTAAATTAGCTACGCCATTCATTAAATAGATAATTAAAGTTAATTACAACCTAGTTGAATACTGATACTCCCCACGCTTTGCCGTCGCGTGTTTTTCAGATGTAAAAAGCATCGCTTACATGTAATGGATAACTGTAACAGTTATCTCGAATTCCATAAAATTGCACGTCACGGGATATGAAATTCTCTCTCTTTCCCCCTTTTTATCTTTTTACATTGTTCAACCGCTATTGAGAAATTTCTTTTCGAGATGTCGTACCATCCAATGTATGCAATTCCCAGCACCCATAACTAACCATAACTATCGCCATAATTATCGCGATTTTTCCGTTAACCCGTTGATCGCGAAACCAAAACTGAAAAGAAAATTCCAGATCATAATTGCGCTAGTAAATAGGAAAGTGTTCTAAATAAATTATTACTTCGTGTCGCATTCCTTTGTGTCGCGACAAAATAAAACTATTCCTGGCAAAACAGCGAAATATCGAATTCGTAGCTTCGCCATAATTTATTTTTTAATTTATCATACGTTTGGAGCGCGACGCTTTTAAGATTTCGAAACGAAACATGCGTGATTCAGGCCACTTTCGCAACCACTGACACAATTAATCCGAATTTTTATACCTTTATTTTTAATTTCATTCATTTCGAAAGCCTCGTCAATTTTTTCAGCTTTTCAGTAAGAACGCGTTCTAACAGCTGTAAGTAAAATTATCGATATTATAAACAACGACGTATTTTCTGAATTATAATAAAATCGAAACCGAGATAACTCGAGTCGATTTTATTCATTTCTCGAGAAAGAATGAAAATATTTTGCCACTTCCAATTTTCTTTTTTCTTTTCTTATAGAGAACCGATCAATTTTTCTTATCGTAGCAACTTTAAAACATCCATCAAATTTTCCAGACATTGCACAGTCGAGTTCTCACCTTTTTCAAAAAATTGCAATATTCGTTTCAGCGTGGAAAAAAATTTATTCTCTAAACAACCCCAGCAGTTTTGAAAAACCCGCGCATATTTCGTGTTTCGTTTGATATATTCACAGAAATAAATATGAAAAATGAACTATTGGACAGTGTAGCCTAATCTCAATTTAGAATGTTTGCAGATATTCACCCAATTATAAATGAAGGATCAATATGACTCCTATCATACGAAACCTATACAGTCTAGGATATGATAACGATATAGACAGGGAAGTTAACATGTAATCGCTACAGTTGCACTGCAGATGGCGTGAGCGTCGCTCTCTCATATATTTGAATATTATATGAGCTGTTCACTGCACAAATTGATTAACCCCATAAGACAAAAAGAGATGGAGGAATTCAATGAAATAATGTATATTGTTTTTTAAAATTCCCTTTATAACTTCAATCGAAATAAATATCGTAGAATGCATAAATACAAATGTAACTTTCATCTAACGGTATATCAAATTTATAAGAAAAAATAGCCAAAAGGTAATCGTTAGTAATGTTACCATTTTTATGTTACTGGAAGAGTTAATCGATTTGGCAAGCGAAAAAAGTAATAAATTTAAATTTTACTAAATTTTACTTAAATTCTGATAAGGCGGCACTAAAAAATTCACCGTTATCATTCATGGCTTGCTAGTGCATTTGAGTTGCATTATTGCAACGATTTACATTAGAGTACGAAATAAATCAAAGTGACCTTTGAAATAAATTATTTATTATTCAGTTAAAAAGTTATGACTATACCAACTGCTTTGACACTTAAATTTCAGATTTTTCAAAAAGTGGAGTTAATCGATTTGTGCAGTGAACGGCTCATATTATACATAATTTGTATTTAATCCATTGCAGTTGTATATTATCACTAGGAAGTGTAAGAGTATATAAGAGTATGCGAGCTCCGGTTACCGATAAGACGGCGTAAGCGATGAACACGTAGCAGTGATAACCGGAGTCTCAAATCGAAGCGGCGATCCGCTTGATTTCGCGGTGGATTAACAAAGGAGGCCCACCTTTAACCGTTTCAGTCCCAGAGGGTTTTGAAAAAATTGTAAGTGGATACGAGAAAACGCAAGCAGCGCGATAGCGCTTCTTCTATTTTATGTCCACAATCCCAAGCGGCGCGATAGCGCTTCCTTTATATTATGGCGATGGATGGCCAAGTGACGCGATAGCGTTTCGACTTGGACAGTCGGTGACACACCGTCAGCTGTCGAGAACGCTCGAAATGTGCTGGCTTTTCTCGACATGAAATCTGAACAGCGCGATCGCGCTGCTTGGGACAGAAACTGTTAAAAGGGCAATTCGAGGAGCGGACCGGGAAGTTTTACGCGAGAGACGAGAGCAGTATGTGTATATCGTATCCAGAAGAATAAAGTCAAATCGGCCACCGAGTGTTAGACTCGTTTTAACTCAGCGCTCTCTTCTCCTCCCCTTACAGAAGTTCTTGATTGACAACGATTAGTCGACGGGTGGCTTTTTGAGAAAATTGTTCTCATTCGAATAGTGTATTCGAATAGTAAGTGGACTGTAAGAGTTATCTTGAGATTGTGTGATTCTTTTTCGTCTGCTACTAGATCTAGTATTTATAAAGACCCTTGGTAGGGCTGTGAATTTTATTATTGGACGGTATGAATAATGGAGTTTTCGAATTTGAAATACATGGGTAGGGGTTGCAAATGATTTTTTGGAAAAACGAACTGAATTATTGCCCCATACTCCAGATACTTGGTTTAGATGGTGTCCAAGCGTCAATGTGCCATTGTGTTCTACCTGGGATATAGGGTTGACAATATGATATTTTCTAATAATACCACCGAAACGGTATTTCAAGGATTAATAGCAATGCTATGTAGATTTGGGGTCAAAATTCATCTTTCATCCGATTGTCTTAAGCCTAGATAAGTCTAATGTAGTGATCAACGTGCACACCCTCATCGCTAGATGGAAAACAGAGGTTCGAGGTTTCTCGCAAGTCCTGGGTGAATCCTCGACTCCCACAAAATACAAGTCCTATTTATACCTTAAGTAAGAAAGCCTTACTGACGAGTTCACTAGCAGGCCCAAGACGGAATGCATTCCTTCCTTGCGTCGTTCTACCTACTACTAGTACCTATCATAGCAAGACACGGCCATCAGGATACATGTGATATAGAATATTTTATGTACTAATTTAATTTAATAGAAATATATTCTATATA